GCTTATGCCAGCACTGGGGAGGTTGGCTTTGCTGCTGCCTGCTGGAGATCTCTGCAGTCCCTGGCCACTGCTGGTGGCAGCAAGGTCCCAGCTCTGCAGACTTTCCTCCTCCATTGTCACGCTGGCTCCTGCTGAGCGCCATCCCTCTCCTGCTGTGGGGCTGGGCTGCCGGGCAGCTTCCTCACCCCCGCTGCTGTTTGAACAGATACCTCCCTGTAGGCTGGGCCTCAACTGAGCCAAGCAGGAAAGGAATCCTCTCTTCCTTCCCTGTGCCCCCAAAACAATCAATCAGCGTACCTGCCCCGGCTTGGAAATCTCCCTGGCGATGTGAACTGTGGTTCCTCCCGCATCCTAGCTGGTGGCAGGAGGAGAAATGCGATGCACTTTAAAGGGAGGCTTTCTGCCCCACCTCAGAAGGTCCTGCTCTTTTCTCCTCTTTCCTCCCACCTGAGAAGGTCGAGGTCTTGGCGGCACTGAAGAACCTCTCACCCCTGCGTGTGTCCAGCTGCTGGGGGAAAGGCCTGACCCCAAATGCCCCTTGGCAGCATGAGGAGCTGCTGCCTCCCCACTTGGCTGTGCCCAGACCAGGCAGGCAGAGGAGGACCGGCAGCAGGCACAGCTTTAAAGTGGGTCAGAGCCTACTCCCCACAGCAGCCAGCTTGGCTTTCCTCCTCTTTCCTTCCAGAACTTATTTACTTTCTAAGCACTTCAGATGTTTGCTACCTCGATTTTTAATTTAAGCTGCTGGCACTTGGCTGCCAGCCCTGTCGGTGTCTAAGTTGGATGTATCCATCCCTGCGTCTGCTGAGAGCCGCCCAGGCGCGGGGCCACATTCCCGGCTTCGGGGAGATAACAGCGACGTGGCTGTTGCTGTCTTCCTGTCACCACCTCTTCCCTTCACATCCCTCCACCCACGGTTCCCATCGACAGGAGCGAGCACACAGGGTGAAATGGATGTGCTGGCTGCCACCAGGCATGGAAGTGGCAGGGCAGGGCTCGTCTACACTGTGATGCTGGGCACTTCTTTCGTCATCTTTTGTTCTGCTTGCTTGAAAGAGTCTTGTCTTAAAACAATCCCTCACTGAAGTGTTTCTTATTTGCACCACCTGCTCTTGAGTTTCTCCCTGGCTGGAGCTCCCTGGGAAGGGCACCCCTTGGGCTCCACAGGAGAGCAGGAGCTGCTGTCCCAGGAAGAGGAGAGAAAACCGTGGCCACACTGTCTGTGCTGCCTTGCCCCAGGTCTGTTTGAGGGCACGGGAAGCTGCACCGATCCCGCCTTGGGCATGGAGGAAAGAGGAGGAGGAGGAGTGGGGAGGGGGTTGGTGCTGTTTGCCTGCCCCAGTGGGGAGCCCCTCACCTGGCTACCAGCCAAAAATCTGCTGGCAAGGCACAGCCCAAACCCAGGGGAGGGGGCAGAGACTGTGACCAGCTTAGCAAGGATGCTTTTGTCCTTTCTGACAGGCTGCCCATCCTTCCCCCAGCGTATTAAACATGCTCCCCCAAAACCCATGCCTTCTCCCACCCTTCTATCCCCTCAGTGTCACCAGAGTGGCAGCGAACCTCTGCAGGCTGCCAACAAGCTGCGTCTCCTGCCCTGCTTCTTCCCAGGCTGGTCCCCACAGCAGCCAGCCCCCAGGACCCCAGCAATCCTGCAACAGCAGGGCCTTGGGAGCACCTGGAGGGATCTTAAAAATGTGAAAGTCACTGTAAATAGTATCTGTGTCCACTGTGGTGTTGGAGCAAGCAAAAAAAAAAAAGTTTTCCTTTTGATTTTTTTTTTTTTTTTTTTTTTTTTACAATTTCTGTGCAACATTGTGCTTTCCGGTGTGGATGTGTAGCAGAATCGTACTCACGGACACTAGGCTCCTTGCTCCTCTAGGGTGTGGGTAGGACCCATGGGTTTGGGAAATGTACACTACTTACGGTCCTTCCTCCCAGTGCATCTGTCCACTTTTGTTAAATTTCAATAAAATTATTTGTAGAGCTCACAAGTCCCAGAGCTGTCTTACTGGGGAAGGCAGCTGTACCTGAGGGGAGGTGGACTTTGCTGCTGGCATTTCGAGCCCCCTGTTTTTTTGGGAAGGGGGTATGTGTGCACATGTGGCCAAGCTGATGGTGAAGGACCCCTGAGTCACAGCCATTTCCAGGTTCTCCAGTTGGCACACGGGACTGGCAGGAGTTGGTGGCTTTGTCAGGCTGTGACTCTCTACTTGTAGCTGCTGTGACATCTTTTAAATACATAACTAAAGTATATAAGTAATGTGAAACGTATGTAATTTCCTTGTTCATTCCCGAAGGCTGGAGCTCAGGCCTGTGTCCCCTCCCGTGTGGGGACGGAGGTCAGAGGAGCCGGGGTTCGCTGGCAGCCCAGCCTCAGGCTGACTCTTCCCATAGCTCCGCCCGAGCCCTGCCGGGGGGAGGCTCCGCCTGTCCTCGCCTTCCTCGCCTTCCCTGCCAAATCAGTGCCTCATTAATCACGGGGGCCTGACGTTCTGGAGCCGGCGTGACCCTGTGCTGGGATGCCGCCCGTCCCTCGAGCATTGGCGGCTGTCCGTGGGGCAAGTGTGATCTCACTTTGTTCCCCACGTCCTGTCCCCGACAGCCCTGCAAGTGTTTTCCTGTAGCCACCGTCACTTTTCATCATTTCCTCCGAGCAAGCCGGCTCGGAAATGATCTGCTGATGAAAGCTGTCATGAGAGTGAGTGGTGCAGGGTGTCCTGCCAGCCCTCCAGCCTCGGGAGGATGAGGCTCTGGCCCATTCATCCAGAGGGACCCCAGACCCAGGAGGGATGGATGGATCCTGGTGGCATAGAAGGGGACTGTGTGGCTGTGCAGGGTGGTACAGCCTTGGCGAGGTTACACAAGGCGATGGCTGTGGCTCTCTGGCTCTGTGACCATCTCTGTGTCTGCCAGGGCCACTGCAGTCCCCTCCTGCTGCCTGTGGGGCAGGGCCATGCCCAGAACCCCCAGCCCAGGGTGAAAGCAGGTGCTGACATTCTCTGCTGGCTTCATGGCTACTCCATCCCCAAGCTGACCTCTCACAGCTTGCTCTGACCTGTCTGGCACGAGTGGCTGTGACTCATGACCCGTTATCTTTATCTGCCATCCATGAGGGATTCCCATCCTCCTGCTGCCTGCCTGGAGCAGCTCACCGCTCAGCTCGCCCTGGCCACTGCCCGCTGTTACCATCCTGGACCCCTCTACACTCTGGGAATGACTTGGAATGATCTCATGCTCAACAGGGCAAGGGGAGGCTAATCTGCCCAGCTGCCCCTTCCCAAAAGCAAGTCTTCCCTGTGGAAAGGAAGGAGGGAAACCGAGTCAGGCGATTCTCCCATTGAGGGGACAGCAGTGAGAATCTGCGTCACACTGAGGACTTCCAGCCCTCCCAACAGTGGAAATCTGTGACCCCTCTGGCCACCCCACTGCCGGTGGGGCTGGATACCTTCGCACGAGGATGGAAAATTTTAGCTGCTGGCGAAGGGAGCCTGTTTACTGCCCAGAGGGGAAGGGCAGCGCCTGCAGCGCTGGGACTTCTTGGCTCCCCACAATCTCTCCCAAGGGTTTTGGCAGCCAACGCCCGGCCAGCAGCTGACCCTCCCAGCCCCTCTCCCAGCTGGTGCCTGGCATTGCCTTTAGGCCAGGCCAAGCTGTGGGGTGCAGCCCGGATTTGGAGTGGCTGGCCTGGATGCAGTGCCCGTCCCTAGCCAGGCTGTCACCCTCTCAGTGGGAGTTTCACCACAAAAGCTGGCACCCAAGTGGTGCCACTAACTGGAGCCAGCTGCAGGTTGCCTGCGGCCATGGCTTGGCACTGGTGGCACCAGGAGCTAACACCGAACAATGCTGGGCTTGGTGCTCCTGCCTGGTCCTTAGGGAGCTGGTGGGTGGCTGGGGAGCACTTCCGTAGATTCAATCCTGCTTCCTTCCCCTGTCAGCCCCGACACGCCCTCACGGTTCCTGTGCAGGGGCACCCCGATGGCCCTCAGCCTAATGGGGCCAGCCCTGGCCAGAGCAGGCGGGGGACAGGCAGCAATGGGGACTGCCACATGGCTGGTCCCTGAGCCCTGCCTGTCCCATTGCCTGCCAGAGGGGACCCACTGGAGCCTCAACAGTGCTCTGGGAAGGAAACCCCCCCAGCCCTGTTACACCCATGGCCCCCCTTGTCCTCTCCAGGCAGGAAACCCACGGGGCCATGGCTGAGTCAGCAGCACCGATTGCCCTAGCCCTGCACAGGATGTCCTGTTCGGCACAGCACCGCCCTGGGGTCACCACTGTCCTGGGGACACTGCTAGTGCAGGGACACTGATCTTCTGGGGTCACCACCACCTTGAGGACACCGGCATTCTGGAGTTACTACCATTGTAGGGTCACCAACCTTTTAGGGACAACGTGATCCTGGAATACCATCCTGGGGTCACCACCATTCCAGAGTCCCCATTTTGGAGTGATGATAATCCTGGGGACACCACCGCCCTGAGGTCACCACCACCTGGAGACAACGTCCTGTGACCACAACCCTGGGGATACCACCAACCCCCTGGGGACAGCCCCGTCCCGCGGTCACAGCGGTTTGGGGACCCCCGGTCCTCTCGGCCGCCTCAGCCCCGCGCTTCCCCCGCCGACCGTGGCGCCCCCTGCCGGCCCCAACTGCGGCCCCGCCCCGCCCCCTTCCGCCGCGTGGGGGGGCGGGTCCTCCCGGGCCGTACCAATCGGGACAGGGGGATGACTCCCCGGTGCCCGGTGCCCAGTGCCCCGTACCGCGGCCCCACGGAGGTGAGTGTGTGCGGCGGGGCTCCGCCACCGGTTCGGAGCCCGATGCCCCGCGATGGTCGGTGCCATCAGCCCGGCGCGGCGCGGGCGGGGCGTGGGGGCGGGGCCGGCGCCCCCGCGGGTGGTGCGTGCCGGAAGGTTTAAAAGCGGCGGCGGGGGGGAGGCGGCGGTGCTGGAGGAGCCCGCGGCGGGGGATGGCTTGAGGCGCGGTGAGAGCCGCGCGGGGAGCGGGAGCGGAGCGGGGCCGCCGGGGGCCGCGCCCCGGCGCTTTGTCTGCCCGGCTCGAACAAAGACGGCGCCGCGCCGGCACTCGGGGGAGCACGAGCGGGCGAAGCCGCTTGGGACCGGGATTCCCCAGAACCGGCCCCCACCCGGGGCTCTCCCCGCACCCCTCGGGAGCTCTCTGCCCCGGGAGGGGACTTGAATCAGGGTCTGCCTTGGGGGGTGCGGGCAGGTCGGCCCCTGCCTGCACCCCCTCCTGCCGGCCACTCTTTCTGACTCGACTCTCCCGCCGCCCCCAGGTCCCGTCGGGCAGGATGCGCGGGGGCTGCGCGGCGGCGGTGGCTGTGCCCTGGCTGGCCCTGCTGGCCTTGGCCCGGCAGCCCCCAGAGAAGCCGTCGGCCGCCCCCCATCTCACCCGCCGGCCCTTCCTGGTGGCCTGGAATGTGCCCACCCAGGACTGCAAGCCTCGCTTTCAGGTGTCCTTCGACTTCAGCATCTTCGACTTGTATGCCTCCCCCAACGAGGGCTTCGTGGGGCAGAACCTCACCATCTTCTACAAGGAACGCCTGGGGCTTTACCCCTACTACAACCGTGATGGTGTGGCCGTCAATGGTGGTGTCCCCCAAAACAGCAGCCTGTCCGAGCACCTCGCCCGCCTCCAGGAGGGCATCGACAAGTACATCCGCTCATCCACCAAAGAAGGGTTGGCCGTCATTGACTGGGAGGAGTGGCGACCTGTCTGGGCTCGCAACTGGAAGCCCAAGGATATCTACCGGGATGCGTCACAGGAACTGGTGTTACGGCGTCAGCCCACCTGGCCCCCTGAGAAAGTGAACAAGCAGGCAGCGTTTGAGTTTGAGTCGGCTGCCCAGGAGTTCATGGTGAGAACCCTGCGCAAGGCCAAGAGCTTCCGACCCAAACAGCTCTGGGGCTTCTACCTCTTCCCTGACTGCTACAACCACGACTACAGCAAGAACAAGGAGAGCTACACCGGGCAGTGCCCAGATGTGGAGAAGTCTCGCAATGACCAGCTGAAGTGGCTCTGGAAGGAGAGCACGGCCCTTTATCCCTCCATCTACCTCGACCCGCTTCTGGACTCCACTCCCAACAGCCGCAAGTTTGTGCGGGCGCGGGTGATGGAGGCCATGCGCATCTCTCAGAAGCACCACGATGACTACTCCCTACCTGTCTTCGTCTACACCCGGCCCACCTACATCCGCAGGCTGAATGTGCTCAGCCAGGTAGGGCTGTACCACTGGGACATCATCAATCCAAGCCCTGGGCATCTGGGCTTTGGGGTCAGCTGAGGTGGTTCCTCTGCTTGGGTATCGCACCTTGCTCCCGTGAAGCAGGGTGGCTCTGGAGGCTGGTGTCTGCACTCATGGGGTTACTGGCACCCCGTGGTTTGACTGTTTCTGTGTGATGGGGAGTGACACCATTTGGCATGGGGCATAGGGCCGGCCCTGGGGAGCAGGAGAAGTGTTTTCTTTCCTAGGACCCCCAGCTGGGCTGGATGATGGGGTGCCACAAACCGTTTCCCTCATGGGTGGGATGTCTGACAGTGGGACTGGCACCAGTGGTGACTGTCACCAGGGAAGTGCCTGGGAAGTACTGCAGGACTCAGGTCCTGGCAGCTGGAACCCTGGGGTGTGGGAGCCCACAGCCCCTGTGCTGTGCTGGCTTAGCCCCTGAGGAGGAGGGCAGCATTGTCCCCAAGTTTTTGGGATAGTCCCTTTTCCTTGAAGCAGGGATTAGGTCTTGCTGCCCTGATCCTGCAGTGGACACTTTGGAGCACGCTGTGCTGGGGCAGTGGGTGCTGCATGGGGTCTGTGGGCACTAACCAGACCCTGTCCCCACAGCCGGACCTGATCTCCACCATCGGAGAGAGCGCGGCACTGGGTGCAGCTGGGGCCATTTTGTGGGGTGATGCAGTTGACACCAAAAATCGGGTAAGTTTGGGGTCAGTGTCAGTGTGGGAGGTAGATGGGTGGAGGGAATCACCTGCCCCCAGGGGAGGATCAGCGGCTGAGCTGCCCTCTCCATCTGAAGTACTTCTCCCTGGGTCACACCCTGGTACTTCCCTTTCCTTAGGAGTTGTGCCAGTTAATGAAAAACTACCTGGAAGGGGACCTGGGACGCTATGTTGTGAATGTCACGACAGCAGCAGAGCTCTGCAGCACGACGCTGTGCCAGGGCCGGGGTCGCTGCCTGCGCCAGGACAGCCATGCTGATGTCTTCCTCCACCTCAACTCTACCAACTTCCAGCTGCGGCGTCGGGATGCTGACCACCCCGAGCGCCCCCTCTTCTGGGCAGAGGGCCAGCTCTCCTCTGCCGACATCCTCTTCCTACGGACCCACTTTCACTGCCACTGCTACCAGGGCTGGCAGGGCAGTGGCTGCCAGACACGCGCTGGCCCCCGCAGTGATGCCCCTGGCCCTTTGGCACCACTGGGACTTGGGGTGCTGTTGCTGCTTGCAGTCTGGTGCTACCTGCCCCAGGACTGAGCTGCCCCTTTCTGTGGCGGTGTAGGAGGAGCCTATTTAAGAAGTCTCTACCCTGCCTGGTAGGCAGCTGATTATGGAGGGCTTTCCCTCACTGTGGTGGTGGGGGGGGAGAGCTGTGTGGTTGCCCCATCTCTACCCACCCTGCTGCAGTGCAGGTGCCCTTCATGGGGATGGGGGGAGGAGGGGGACCCCTCTCCTGTTGTAAGGAGAGGGATGGGGGCAAGAGGGACACGGGGGTGGGGAGCGGGTGCTGCGTGGTGCTGATCCCCCGTGTGCTGCCCCACACTGAAGTGCTTTACCTCGAATAAAGCTGGTCAGACTGAGAGGTGTGGGCTGATTTGGCACGGGGCAGGCACGGATCGCTCAACTCGCGGACACAGCCTCCGGGCACGGGGCGGGTGGAAGCGGCGTGTGGGTATGCAGGAAAACTGCGGTGTTGGGAGCTGCCCCGCGGAGCTCGGGGAAGGGGCTGGAGGGGCGGGAGCAGAGCCGGAGCCGCGTGGGCAGCCACGGCCGGGCCACCCATGTGGAGGCTGCGTGAGCCCCGCCCCGGCCCCGCCCCAGCGGGATTCCCCGCCTGGCCCTGCCCCGGGCCCCGCCGCTGTCCGGGATGCGGGGCTGGACCCCCGGGACCGGCATCGCTGTGTGGGGACACCGTGCCGTGCGCCGCCGCCGGGTTCAGCCCCGCAGGGCCGGGGGCGCTCTTGGGCCGTGCACGTCCCTGAGCTCCGCTGTCCCGTGCCACGAGTGTCCCCCAGCGGTACCCTCGCGTGGCTCCTGTCCCCTGCACTGCCCTGCTCTGCCCGTGCAGCCTCTCCGGCCTCTGTCTTGTCCTGAGGGCTGTCCGTGGCTGTGGAGCACCTCCCTGCCCACGCCCCTGGGCTGCTGTGAGAGTCGCCGTGCCGCGCTCTCTGCGGCTGCTGTCCCCTGCTGTGGGTGTCCCCAGGCCCTGCCTGCCTGTGCCTCCACGCGTGAGCGGCCCTGGGCCGTGCCCTCCTGTGGCCGCGGTGCCACCGCGGGCCGTGTCGTGCCTGGTCGTGCCCGGTGCCGTGAGCTCCCTGCCAGCAGTGCCCTCCTCTCGCCAGGGAATGGCCGTCGCTTTCCGCTTCCCGCCCGGCGCCCGCCCGGCGCAGCCCGAGTCCATCACCGTGACCTTCCTCCCCCCGCCCCGTCCGTGTCTGTTTGTCTTTCCAGCCCACTCATCACCGGCCAGTCATGGGGTGTTGACTCTGCGCATTCCTCACCAGCCGAGCCCGCCGCTCGTAACGCGGGGCTGACGCTGCTGTCGCACTCTGGGGCCGCTCTGCTGGGCTCCAGCTGCAGATAAATTCGGGGACTTCGAGGAGGTGGAAGAGGTGACCCTGGGTGACCGGCACCGCTTGGGAACGGAGGTGTGGATTATTGCCGGTCCTGACTTGGGGATAAAAGCGTCAAGGTCTGCCCAGGTCTCAGCTCTCCACAGTCAGCTCCAGGATTCACCCTGAGCGCACCAGCACCATGGCATCAGCATGGTCCTGCTGGGTCCTCCTGCTGCTCCTGCCTGCCCTGACCCATGCTGGGGGACCAGGTCCTGTCCTCGTGAACCGCCCCTTTGTCACCATCTGGAACATCCCCACCCAGCGCTGTGCTGAGAAGTACAATGTCACCCTCAACCTGGAGGTCTTTGATGTGCTGGCCAATGACCAGCAGTCCTTCACTGGGCAGGACATCACCCTCTTCTACAGCGACAAGTTGGGTCTTTTACCCTACTACACACCTGGGGGGGTGCCAGTGAATGGGGGGCTCCCCCAAAATGCCAGCCTGGAGACTCACATCCGCCAGGCCACCCAGGACATCAAGGTGACCCTGCCCAGCCCTGACTTTGGTGGGCTGGCTGTCATCGACTGGGAGAAGTGGCGCCCACTGTGGATCCGCAACTGGGACTCCATGGAGATCTACCAGCAGAAGTCGGAGGAGCTGGTGCAGCAGCAGCACCCACAGTGGCCTCCCAAGGAAGTGGAGGAGATGGCCAAGCAGCAGTTTGAGAAGACTGCCTGCGATTTCATGAACAAGACCCTGTGGCTGGGCAGGAGCCTCCGTCCCAGTGCCTACTGGGGTTTCTATGGTTTCCCTGACTGCTACAACAATCACTTTGATAGCTTGACCTACAATGGGACGTGCCCAGATGTGGAGCAGCAGAGGAACAAGAATCTGTCCTGGCTCTGGAGGAGCAGCCGGGCACTCTACCCCAGCATCTACCTGCCCTTCTGCCTCAATGGCACCAACAAGGTGCTCACCTATGTGCGGCACCGCGTGGCCGAGGCTTTCACTGTCCAGCGTGGAATCCTTGACAGTGGCATCCCCGTCCTGCCCTACTCCCAGATCGCCTTCGAGTACACTCTGGACTTCCTTTCCCAGGTGATGGGGATGTGGGGATAGTGGGCAACACTTGGGCTGATGGGTTGGCACCACAGACTCTTTATCTCTGCTGTGTGGGGGCTTTGGCCACTGCTGACTTCTCCTCTCCCCATGGGTGCAGGAGGACCTGATGAACACCATCGGGGAGAGTGCAGCTCAGGGTGCTGCTGGCATCATCCTCTGGGGCAGCCTGGACTACAGCACCTCCAAGGTGAGTGTAGACGGGGGCACCAGGTCCCTGTCAGCAGGGACCCCCCAGTTCCTCAGCTGTGCAGGGCTGTGACACTGAATGCCATTGCAGGATGTGTGCCAGAGGCTGAAGGAGTACGTGGAGGGGCCCCTGGGTCACTACATCGTCAATGTGACGGCCAGTGCTGATCTGTGCAGCCGGACCCTGTGCTCCGGCCATGGCCGCTGCGTGCGCCAGGACAACCAGCAGGGCTGGCTCCACCTCGACCCCTCCCGCTTCACCATCGACCTGCGTGCTGGCAAGCCCTGGCTGCTGGCTCAGAGCCTGGAGCCTGGGGAGGATATTTCCAAACTGGCCAGGGAGTTCAGCTGCCAGTGCTATGACAAGTGGCAGGGACCCCGCTGTGACACCCAGGGCTTTGCCAAGTGAGGCCCCACGCAGTCCTCCCACTCTGGGGACACACTGGGCAGACAGGGTGACACTATCTCAGCGCCCATGCCATGGGGCTGAGAACCTGACTGTGAGGCTCTTAATAAAACCAGAAAGCACCAGCGTCTCCTTGTCTTCTGCTGCAGCACTTTTGGGGTGGGAGGGTCCTCCTGCAACACCACTGCTGCCTTGTGATGCTTCCAAGAGCTGTCCTTTGGGATGGGGCTTGGGATGTAATGCCCCAGAGAAACCACAAGGAAAAAAGAAAATTTATGGGAAAAGACATAGGAAGAGGGGATGATAAGGGAAGAGGATGAGAAATGGAAGAATGATGGGAAACAGGCAAAGAGTGGAGGCAAAGGGGGTGAAAAGATGTGATTATGTGGCTGTAGTTGAGGGAGTGTGAACTCCAACCCCTCACTGTGCACAGAGGAGTGGACTGAAATCAATGCCCCCACTTTGATTTTCCCCTGGATAACCATATGCAAAGCAGTTAAATCCACAAATAATATGCAAAAGCACTGATTTTTGTAACACAGACCACAGACTTAACCATACGTATTTCAAAGCAGCTGGAAGAAGGCATGAAACCCTGGCCCATCTAAGACAAAGATGTTGGCATCTTCATCTGGATGTGGGGGAATCACATGCTCAATTCTCTGATTTCAGGCTCTAATTCAGGTAATCTCTCATTGCTGGGACTGCACTGCATGGCACTGTGTTTGTACTGGGGACTTACAAAGCTGCACCCTTAATTTTTAAGCTGGTTTGTGTAAACCATTGCAGAACTACTACATTTCTTATGTTCACTTCTTATTATTACATTAAGGAGGGTCTGAGATTATACCACTGGAAACGTAATTAGGCCTTTGGATTCCCCAGTCACAGCTTTCAGAAACATACACTCTTTTATTACCAAGCTCTTTGACAAGCTGGGGGCCCCTGAAAAAATTAGTCATAATTGGATTTTGGCCCAGAATTAATAGTTTTGTCTAATTCTTATAGAGATAGCTTGGTAAATGTTGTCTGTAAATGATGGAAACCATATTATCTTAGTATTTTTTGTATGTGAAATGTGATTTTACTTAAATGAACACTCAAACATGCTCCCACTAAGCTACAGGGAATCTGATATTTGCCCTGTATATAATGCTGAAATTGAAAGCAAAGTTCACCTTGCTGTTCACACAAAGAAAATTACCATGAATTTCAAGTCCTCCTTATGCCTAGAAGGGATCAGAGCTGTGCGCTCGTAAGTTCAGGTAATTTAATATGCTTCAAGTGTTCAGCTACTGGTGCCTAATTGGGGGCTGGTCTGAGGTTCTCCTGGACAGTATTATCTCAATCCATTAACCAAACTAAGCATTGAGGTGGGCATCAGGAAAGAGACATTTCCTCAGGAGTTGCAGAGGCTCTGGCTCAGTTGGAAGCCCTGCAGAAACCCTGTTTCCAGGTGTGGTTTTGTGGCTTTTCTTAATGAAAAGTAAGGCTGGGAAGTGGCAGACTTCCCTTATTTCTTGAAACAGCTCATTTTCTTGTTAGTGAAATAATGCAAACTTAGGCATTAATGTAGTTTGCCACTTTCAAATAATAGCTTTGAATGTGTAAGAAGATTTGCTTTATTCCTCCTACCTATTCTAGCTATTCTCCCATCCTTGCCTCTTACACTGCATCTAAAGACACCCAAGACAATGGATGTCATATAATTTAGCTTGTCTCGCTCCAGACTGAGGAATGGAGCCTAGAAAGAGACTGCATGTGGTGCCAGCAGACAATGTGGAAGCACTGAACATCTGCTGAGTTGTTTGTTCCAGGTCTGAAAACCTGTACATGTAGCTCTTGCAGCTGGATGCTGAGCTTCTCCTGGTACACAAGTACAAACCTCTCTTGGAAGAAATAAATCCTTCCCAAAAGCAGATCAGGGCAACTGTATGACTTGAAATTAAAGAGATGGCACTTGAGTCTTTAAAATACCTTTTATTCCATTCACATTACATTGGAGGCTTGAGGCACACAGGGCTGGTCACTCAGAGCTCAGGTTGCTTCGTGGGCGTGCAAACACATTGCAGCTTAAAGGGAGAGAGGAGGGCTGGGTGCTCTGCCAGCCCAGGGCAGGTTTGGGTCACTGTTTAGCCCCCCTAATGCCCAAGCACACACTGCTGTGCTGTGCCCAAAGCTTCCAGGTGAGCAGCTCACCCAGCAGGAGCAGCTAAGAGGACTCAGAGGTACTTCAGTGAAACATGAGACCAGAAGGAGGAGGAGGATGAAGCAGCAGCACAGAAACTGCCTGCAATGACACCTGAGCCT